ATATGTATATATGTATATATATAGAAACTGACTCGATAATAGCTAAGACTGTCGAGAGTTTTTCTGCTTTATCCCTGGTTTTACTACACATGACACGTACTCCAACTCACTCTCCAATGTTTTCCGATAAAGTCTGACGCCTGCCCCTATGTGGGTGTTTCTTATTGAAAAGAACAGCAGACAGGCATGATATAAATCTCTACCAATGCACACATATATAAGCACACATATAAAAGAGACACACACCTTTTCACCAGAAAACATTGATTTGTGAATCAGTTACTATCTGAAGCACCAATAAAGCTGCGAATATATTCATATAAATAGTTTCCATGGCGACCACAAAGTCGGAAAGTATAAGGTCACATTTGCTTTCGATTTCATTTTAGAAAACGCTTCCCCCTAAATGTTAAAAAACATCAGTCGCCTTCTAATGAACAGACGAATACGAGCGAAAAAATCATTACAATAAAGCTATGGTGGAAAGATAACAACGAAAAAAAGAAAATATGGGTTACTTACCTGGCCCGTGACCTTAATTGAGTATGCCCACGTCTCTGTTGATGTCACCATAACCCATTTCCATGCAATTTTCCGAACTAGCTGCACACATTAAAAAAACAACAGTAAAATTGAGCACTCTTCAAACATTATGAAGCGGCGGCAACTTTCCGTCACAAACCAGATGCTCGGTAAATTCTACGGCTATAAGCAGGCAAGCAATGGTTCACTGTTGTCCAAAAGACTGTTGATGAAACCTGTATCAAATTTGTTATTGTATTAGATACACGGACACTGCAAATAAAACTCTACTAAATAATAATAAGAGTCATCACAGTTTTTTTATCTAATTTACCGGGATCTATTTAGTTTGTGAAGCGTACCCTCAACTACTGCGAACAAATCTTGAAGTTAACGCTATTTATAAATGCTACAAATGTTTTGTTCACCAATAAACAGCCCACTGACAATTACCGACACCGGCAGCCACTTGATGCATGAGCATGCAAATCGTGCGCCCTGTCCAGCATGAGCTGATCTGAATGGAAGTAAAGACTGAGTCCAACTGCACGTATCTGCTCGCACACAAATCTTCTGTTTTTTAGCTCTTAACGGTTACGGGGAGTGATGATTATAGTGACATTATGCATTGAGTATATATATTCCCTTAGCTTGGTTGGTATTCGTTGTTTTAAACAGGTGGTTACTTGGAGTAGGGCTCAAGGAAACCTTTCGTGTGCATGCGTTTAGATCTTATACTGCCCAGTTATCCTGACAAACTTTCTATCGATTATATTTGTCGTTCTTGCATAAATGATCGCTGAACGCAATACAAAAGATTGTCAAATCAACATCTACTCCAATTAATATGGCAATGAAAACATTTTTCATTGTATAAGACCACCAAACTAAAACTGTTACGATCAGCTAGAACCACTCAGATCTTCTACGTGTAATCAATAACATTCATCACTAAAAGGAAATAAAAGAAATAAACGATACAGCGATCCTCAACTATGCTAGAGCGACACATTATCCGTCAGGTTATAGGACTTTGTCGGTTATTATAATGATAATACTAATAAAGTCGTGCACGTATATCACATTCATTATATTGCCATAGCGGCTCAACATTCTATCACATAATAAGCCGACTTGAACTTCGGTGACTTGATATGAAGTGCAGTGCTGGTAATTGGCACTGCACGGACGTCCCCCGATCAACGGCAAAAGCCGCGCGCGCGCGCACGAACGCTCGCCCCACCCACCGCACGCCACATCCAGAACATAAGTGGGATTACGGGGCCGCTTGCGACAGGCAGTTGATTGTTGATCGGTTTTGCTTTTATTATTCTCTTCCACCTCTCTCTCTCTCTCTCTCTCTCTGTCCACCCTCACCCCCCGATATAGCGGCCTTCCTTTTTTCAACGAATTATGGGCGCTGTGCGAAACACCAACACTCGTGTTTCGCACGGGAGCCTTGAGGGTCCGGGTTCGGACCCTGACGCGGAAGGAAGATTCGCCGATGGAGAACATGGTCACGGGCTGAGCCATGGCCATGGAGGTCACAATGCCCTGACGCATTTGCGTGGGGTAACCCCCTCAGTCCACGGTCAGCCCGTATTCCATTCCAGCCATAACGGATCTGCAGAGCACTCGGCAACACACAGCAACGATTTGCATCTAGTCTTTCCGCTCAGTCATCATGGACAATTCGGCGCTCATCGTGCGAGCCTTAGGTTGGTTTGTAAAAAAATGCTTTGAATATGAATATTTTAAATGCCAAATGGAGAAGGCAATACGTGAAGCTTGAAGGTAAACTAAGAGCATTGACAAGTGTTAAGACTAAGATGTTAGCTACAAGCAAGCTGATATTAATTACAGTAGATATTTTAACACGTGTGATTTCACCTTGAGCACACCTCCCTTTTGCCATTAATTACTGGGGTAACCGTATCGTTCTCTCGTTGTCATCCTGCGTTTTCGCATCTTGTGCATTGGGTACCATTTCAGCATCGACACGCAAGCAGGAATGTCAAGTGATAAACAGTGGAATCGATCGCTCAGTTTCCTAAGACGTGGTAGCAGTCGCCGAAAACGTAGAATGAGCATAATCCAAGCCGCCATGCAGGTACGCCTAGCCAGCAACAGGAGACACAGCATCCAGCGGCCAACGCGCCAAAATTCGAAAGTCTGCCCACCACCTTCGAACTCTGTCTTACCGAATTATGACGAGCAAGCCCCAGATTTCATTGAAACTCCAATCCGACCCGATCCCGTTCCTGTCGGCTTGACAAATGCCTCCCTTCGTTATAACATGTTCATGCTAACAAAAATGAATATTCACATTTATGCAGTAAGAAGTACGATCGGCCAACGAGCCTAAAGGATAATAACAGGTAGAAGAGGAGTAAATAGTTTTTTTGCTCTTTACTTCCGGTTGAGATGTATATCTTAAATGTACGGTCCTAAAAGCACATGTTCGCTTTTGATGGTAATTTATTTTCAATGGTAAAGAGAGTTTATGAAAAGACGAAAAAAAAACTGGTATCTCATGATACCAATGTTCATTGAATAATTAATAAGAATAACGCGTTCAGTTTACTGCATAGCAGCTCAGTAATTTCCAATGTGAACATATATCGCGTCTTTATGATATTACCATCTCGCAAATTTCAAAATTTAGCATGGGCTCGTTCCGGCCTCGCGGGCCAGCACGCTGGAAGATCACCAATCCTTTGACGTTTTACAAGATCTTTACGCGTGCAAAGCATGGTTGCATGGGCACGCTTTATGTCTGTACTAGAAAAAAAAAGTAGCCTAGACGCAAGCCTTATCCGAGGCTTCAGGTCTACGCAAATATCTTGTATATACTAGATATATGCGTACATACCTACGTGTATATACTTAGTTCCGGATATTACTAGTTGGAGCAAAACTTTCGCAAAACTCAACCGCAAGCTTTCGAGCTAGTTCAGCGTTTTGCGGTCGCTCTTTTTCTATTCGGCTATTTTCATTTACACCGTACACACTGCCCTGAGCGTCGTCTGGATGATGCCTTACTTGATGATCTGACTTTCTGGCACTTAGTCACCTAAGTCACTCATCAATAGCACTTTAGCTTGTTGCCGCCATTCATATATACCTAAATTAAACGAACTCTCAATAATGATAACAGCTCTCTTTCTATTCATCTCTATCACAACGTGGAATGGCCAACGCGATCCTTTTTGCCCCCCAGTAGTCGGGCATGCCTACAATTCTGTTTTCCCTCCTTTTCTGTCTGTCCAAAACGACATTAGCTAGGCTCCCCCTTATTATTCAGCCGATCGTGCGTATTGTAGATGTATATGTAGAGAAATAACCTATACACACGAGAAGGCCCCTTCCCGCACAAGTGACATCAGCTGGGTACCGAGATTTCAACGCGATACCGACCACCAGTCAAACAGCTTTTCAACGGGACACAAGTCAGTTATGATGACAGATGCTAAAATAATCATGATTATGATGACGAACCAAACTGATATACGTGCCATTCGACATCCAGGTAATAATACAGGCCGTTAATAGCTGTTAAAAACAGGTAGCCCTTTGATCGTCTGTCACTATAGCCACAGATATTTTCTACTAAACTTTGTAGCTGTAGATAATTAGACCGTAGTTTGTTAGATTATATTTCGAAGGCATGAATCGTTCTAATGCGCACGAAAAACGATCATAGACGTGGTGTAGTTGATAGCTATGGGTTTTAAATATATTCAAAAGATTCTAACGTACTGCTCGTAGGAAAGCCGTTGAGGTCAAAGAAAATTTGAATTTGGAATTGGCCCACGATTTTCGGAAAGGAAACAAAGGCCGAACAACTCTGAGCTCTCTCTATTCTCTTTTCAAAAAAGAGTCGTTGCTCCGCATTTCAAGCAGAATCACCCTTCTCTGTGGAGTAGAGCAGGTAGGGGCCGTAGCTCTAAGATTGTAGACAGACAGAAAATAGAAACTCGGGCTGAATTCGGGTCAGTCAAGATGACCTACAAAAAGGAATCAGAGCAGAAACTTGTTTGCGAGTTGGTTCTGCCCACATATAAGAAAACACGCTATTCGTAGACAGGATATGAAGTGGAGCATTCCGTTGCAGACGGGCCCGTCGTGGACTGACCTTATGGAGATGGCCAAAGTCGATATAAGCTGACAAATTGAGTGGAACTGCCTAGCCGAGGTGCCGACTGAGACAGAACTCACCACCTCAATCGAAGAGCAACTTAACGCAGTTCGGGGGCCGTACAAAACGTTCGCCCCACGTGCCACGCCGCGCCCCTCCGTCCAATCGGCAAGCATTGATTGCGCTACCAACAGCATCACCCCTTCTTGCTATCCGCGTCCGACAAAAGTGGTAACATTTTGACTGTCTCTCTCTATCTGCATCAACTGCTACAACGAAAGGCAAAAGAACTACGGCATCAATCAATTTTGCAACGCAAACTCGCACCCATCATAACAGTTCATAATAGTTAAATCTATTACGACCTCCCTTATTTACATACTACTTCTATACTAGCATTTCCAGAGTGGAATAAATTTAATACCTGTTTACCCTCGAGTTGATAGAGTTTGTCGTTGATTGACTGATTGACGACAATTTAACATTTCGTTGATTGACTGCTTTACTCCTTGTCTATTGCCTGGACTGCTGCTTCATTAATGACTAATAGTACCCTGACAAATAACAATAATAATAGCAATAAAAGTAACAACAACAAAAAAAGAGTCGCCAGCAAGTAAGTTTCTCACTTAGACCTCTTGTTGGCTATCAGCTCCTACCTGACGAGCGATGGGTGGCAAAGATTATTCAGTACTGCCTTGCTGTCGCTTCTAAACGCACCCCTCCCCCCCTCTCCGTACTCAATTTGTACGTTGTTCAATCTTAACTTAGCCGTCGCCATCAACGTCCTTTGCCTTATATAACTTTCCTCTAATACTGAATGTCTGAGGTGATTTCTTCAGTGTGTTGCGTTCGTTCTTAGCTTTCTTAGTTGAATTATTTTTTCATGAACCGAAAATAGACGGGTTTATATTGAATAGCATTTTTTGACAACTCCATGATCCGTGTTCAGTATCTGTATCAGTGTAAAGACTAATTTTAATTCAAGGACATTTTAGCCCAAAAGATCCTGACCACGTTCTCTCGACTGGCCTCTCCACACAGTGGGTCTCACCCATATACGCACGAGCTCTAGCGCTGCAACTCTGTTCGCTAATATTGCCTGTGGCTTGTGGTCATGTCACGTCGGTCGACGAACGGAGTCTAACCTGTCTAATCCAGTAATATCATACAATCCCTGGTTTAGAGGTATTAAAGGATAGAACGACCTTCCAGAATAAGTAGCATGTGCATTGTCCTATAGGTTTGCGCAAAATAGGTAGAATATCATTATAGATACCGTGGGCTCTATACCTTCCTGGCTCACGCATTTGAGCTAATGGTTAAGGCCAATATCAGGTACGATCGATTATTTCCTTGACTTGCTCTGAGATACTTCATCAATTACAATTTGACTTTAAAACAACAAGTCGTTAAGAGATTCCGGCAACAGACTGCCATTCGACTGTAAGCACCGCTGTCCTGTTTCGGCCCTTCTATCGAGCTACTATATTTCCTGTCTGTGCATCGGGAGCGATGTTTTAAGATGACCTATAGTAGGACAGATATCTCAAACATAGTTTCTTTTCGAAGGTGGAACAAATGGAAGCCGAAGCCGCGCGGCAACGGCCGAGCCATATCGCTCAGAGCAGCCATCACGGACAGCAGTCAGGTAATTAATATCACGCGAAAATAAACGGTCGTCCTGAATACTCTGTTAGTAATTGTTTACGAACAAGTGATAGCAAGCAATGTAAGGTAATCTTATCTTGACAAAGCGTGCTTAACTTGACCCACATAGGCTTGCCTTGCCGTCTCCGAACTGGCGCCAGTCATTGCAGTAGCCTCTTCACTTGCGTATAGTAAAAAATCACATTTCTTTTTGAAGATATGTGCAAAGGCACAGTGATGTCAGGTAATGACACCATATTTATAGGTTCAGAATCAGGTTGTTCACACGGGGGACCTTCAAGTCACCTACACCCGGAATTCGGTGTGAGAGGCAGGTCCCCGTCGCCGCGTCGCCGTGGCTCGTTGTCGCCTCCAGAACAGCGCCTAGATGGACGTCGGTCCCCTTACTTGCGAAGACGATCTCCTTCGCCCTCGCCGAGGAGGGGTTTAGCGGACGCAGTTAGCGATGTCGTCGACATGGTTAAATATGAGACCTCTCGAAAGGGACGAGCTAAAGGTATGTAGTTCTCATAGGACAGTAACTTACGCTACATCAGTTACGAAAGGCCGAACATGAAAGTAGCTACATAATGATCCTATTCAATAAAAACTTCAGCAGATATAAAAGCCTTGCTTCCACGATCTCTTGGTCTGAGCGCCCGAATCGTGGCTGGGGTTTGTGTCTCCACAATCGCCCGCTTGTCCGCGACCCGTAACCATTTGAGCATGTACTTCGGACTTTATGTTTTACAATTTTTTTTTGTGGCTGATTCCCGATATGGAGCACCTCAAAACTTTCGGCTTTGGAGTTACTTTAGAGACTACTGCGGAGGCCGTAAAATGCACTATAATAAAGGACTTTTGAGCCGGAAGTCTATCGGCCGTGTTGCGTTTCTTGGAGAATGAAGTAATAACGAATACCAAAGATCACTCATTATACGTTATGTGGACAGCGAAATTCAGTCTTTACAAGCAGTGCCAACTTGATTGAAAACTTTTGTACAAATGGTATCAACGATCTCGCTACGGACAAGCGGACCTTGAGGGCGATCCCGGGCTCTGGCGTAAGCTAAAAAAATCAGCGAGTTCCATTCGGGAGATCGCCGAAAGGTCAGACATGGCACACGGGTTGTGCCGGACAATTTAAAATAATCATTTGGAAGTGAAAAGAGAACTTGAGTTTGGATCAAATATAGACCTGTTAGCAACGCCTCAGAACCTTAATGCACTTCAAAAGACATTCCGACACGCCACTGCAGGCGTCGGAAATTTATTCCTGTCTTCTCTTTTTTTATCGGAAAATTACGCACTGTCACTAAAAATAATAATTACGTTAATGACTATGTCTACTGCAACAGGGGTTTGGAAAAATTATTCATGTGCTCCATAACGATAATGCATTGGGTTACAGGTAGTTGTTCGCAGTGCATTTTCCACAGGAAGTTTTGTGTTGGCTTAACTTTGGTAGTCAAATTACCTGGCCACCTGTAACTTCGTTCAGAAAGTGCTTGAAGAAATTTGAGAAAAAACGCGAGGCCTATTGCTGTTGTCGAGTTAAATATCCGTCTTGAAGACTGGATAAAGCGGTCGAATCCGTACATCGAATTAGTGGGAGAATATTTTAAAGACGATAACTTAGATTCTGGTAGTTAATAGAGAGCCATATTCTGAATCTTTAATTTGACCATAGACGATTTCGAACTGAACTTTCAGCGCGATTGCACGGAGATGAGTACTTCTCGTCGCCGCACCGCTTCGAGAGATCGCCTAGTCGATATCGTCATAGCCAACGGTATCAGGGCTATCAACTTACAAGTAGACATGCAAGCCCAGAATATAAAACCACCTCGCTCAGTCGGCGATCTAGATCTCCATCGCCCAGCAGTCAACGTTCCTCTCAGCACCCCGCATCGACGTCACATCCTCATAGGCAACAACACTGTAGAACTCCCACCCACAGCGAGTATTATGGTAAGCCTATAGCATTCGTCCGAAACATAATATGACAGGGTTTTATGTTCCCAAGATATTTTCGATGCACCACTTGTATCGCGCGCAAAAAGGTTTATTACAGTATGATTTGGTAATGTTATAAGTGCTAGGACCGAGTAGGTGTCTGTATTCACCATATACTTCACTCGCTTCAGGGTACGGATCATTATTTATATGACGTGATTTCATGCTGTTTCACTTGTATACAGTGGCCAGATTTTGAAACAAATGTTAGCCCTGGCTTTGATTTTTTGCTATCGATAGGGTCCTGTTTTTTTAGCAAAGTTCGTTATGGTTTTCTTTCCTTAGATTGGGATCCTTTGTGTTGTGCTTTATTTGTTTTCCTTCCTTAGCCGAATTTTTTATTGGCAATATATATTTCTTGTATTTTTATTCAATGTAACAGCATAGCTTACGATGCATGCACAACAAGTAAAAAAAATCTATGAAACAATACAAAGGTATCGCTAGAAAGGTAAGAACATTTTGAACGCTTCAGCTCCATGAAGAGCGTTGAATTTAAGATGAAGATCTGAGAAATTGTACTGACATATCTGGATAGCAGCAGCGACGTACATTTTTTTAGTAAGTTAATAATAAAATAAATCGGTAAAGTCGAGTGAGTGATCGCTTCGCGTATTTCAATGCGAATATGAATTTACTAGCGTCAATTCTAGCATCTCTCAACTGGGATACTTCCATTGCGGCTGTGCCATGATGGGGATTAATGTTGGATATATTAGGAGTAGGAGATGCAATAGTGTTTCTACTGGTTACCCTTAGAAAACTGTTTCCTTATGAGACTATATTATAGGACCCGCAAACCTTTACGAACAACGCGGTTACTTAGGTTTAACATAATAACTTGCTTTGTCATCCACAACAATTTGGAATAATTACAGGCACCACCCAGCTCGAGCAACGTTCGCGCTCTCCTAGTCCCGCAACGTCTGCCCAGAGCCTTCCAGTGGCGGCAGTAGGTAGCAGGCGAGGCCGCCGTGGAGGCGGTCGTCGCCTGCCTCCTACGCCCAACAAACCGTCCACTCTGCTTCTGCTCCAATCAGGCAATATGCCCTTTGTTGCTAACTCGCCAACACTGACTCAGTACGAGTGCGGGACGATCAATTTTCCGCATGTCAGTGCATCACCAACCCACTCAACGCCGTCGCACGTTACCTCGTGGAGTCGTCATCCACATACGATAGCTCATCCGGCACATCTACAACAACAGCAGCAGCATTTGTCACCGCTTTTACAAGAGCAGGTGGCCGGACTCGCAGCTCACGCCGGCTACGGATCGCAGCAGCCGCCGTTCTACAGGGACCTTAGGCACCCTCCGAGACAACTGCAGTCGCCAATGCAGCAGCTACCGAATGGTTACAAGCCAGGCAAGTACCTACACTCGTCCGTACTTAAGGATTTCCTTAGGAAAAAAGATATATGTACGTATATATTTTAACTTTAAGGCAGAATAATCTGGCATTATTTTAGCATAGCACATAGCACATGCATTCTATCTGGCCACCCGCAACCTGCCTGAAAGCGTAGGATAACAGCGTGCATATCAATTGATTTTTTCGCGATTGGGCTATTTTTCTTTGCATTTCTGTCTACACTGATTTGCAAAAACGAAATATCTTATTTGAACAGTCGCTTATATGCATTTGCTAACATAAGAATCACTACGAGTGCGATCGTTTCTATAGTTCTGCTCTCTTCATTTGAGGGAACGATTACAGGTGACCCATTGGGAGCCATCGATGGTGGGCCTTGGGGTGGTCCACCAAAACCAAGAGATACCATAATTGCTGTGCGTACCCCTCACGACTATTCAGGTTCTGATGATGAGTGGTGCTGACGCGAGGAGAAGCTCGAAGAGCTTCAAGAAGCCCTTGGTGAAAAAGATTTAAGTGATGGTGATACAGAAAAAATGACTCCACTACATGGGCAGCCCCTCGTTGATCAAACTCAAAGTGAAGCGGTCCCTATTTTCGTACCTCAGCGAACATCAACGCGATCATCGTTGTCGCATTGGGATGATCTCGAAGGCCCGTCAACGGCCAACACTTAATTCATCTATAATTAACGATTGAGAGCGAATCCACGTAATCTATTGAACGCAAGCAATCCTTTGGCTACAGCCATCGTCGCCTACTAACCAGACACTCAGCCAGCTGGTTTTACGATCAGCATCGGTATCACTATCAATATATAATAAATGCAATTGAGATTAGTTCAGTTATGAACTTTGCCATTTACCGAAGGACACGAACAACCAAGGATACTTACCTGTTAAAATTTCATCATCAGTGGGGAATACTATCGGTTCAACTCGAGCTGAACGCCAGCTAGCTCGAAAAGCCGGCCCCTCGAAGGACAAAATCCCGCCCTCGCCTCTCCTAGCTAATGTATAAACATAAATTATAAACGTCTGATCTTTTAAGTAATCCGCACGCCTACCAATGTTTACCTTAACGTGAAAACCGTAGTATAAACCCCAATCATTGTACACTTTCGTAAGAGGATTACGAATCGATTCACGCATGTGTAAACACACACATATCCATATTCATTTATAGCGTCAACCTTACGCAAAGCTGTCTTAAAAACAACTATCCGAGTTCTGAGTACACCAGATGAATAATAAAAACACACTGAGAGGTGTCAAACCCTCTCAGAGGCAAATGCGTTTAGCATAGAAGCCTCATATATTTACTTCTACCCCCCCCCCTCCCTCCCCCTCCCCTTTCATTATTACTATCTATCATCTCAATGTAAACATACATTCGCAGCTACAGAAGAGCAAGAAATTCATTTTATGTAATGGCCCCATAAGTGCGTTAGCTAAAGAAAGTATACCATTACGTAAAGTATTAAACTCCCAAAGATCGCTACCATGATTTTTATTTAAAGTTAATCCAAGAAGCGACACAAAGCAAGATTTCGCTGTCTGTTAATAGTTTGCCTTAAAAAAATTCAAACAGCCCTGTCATTACATAGAAAAACACGGATTACAGAGACTCAATACCCCATTGTTATGCACAATATTTTCCTCGAATGCTCGGCCATGATCAAGTCGACCTGCAACGAACGTGTCCGATTGCGGCCTTAGTTCCGGTAATTGAACACAGAGTAAGATTTGATAGTCAGCGGCATAGGTCATACACGAAGTCGACAGGTAAAGATTTCGAAGTTTGGAAAACGAGTGTACAATTGTTTAATCTTGGGAATTTCTAGTATAAATGTCAATATGGACATTCAGATTTTTTTTTCTTTTGGAATTGTTCTTTTCTTTAAATAGGCTATTACTATGGCCTCAAACACTTTGATGTGACCTAGTTTGCTGCTGTCCTAGCCACGCTCTGGCTAGCGTCGCCATCAGCGTCTAACAGCATCTGAACGCAGGAGCGCACTGTGGCGGCATTTTTCTATATGCGAGCGCTCTACCGGCAACTGAAACAAATTCACACCGGCTTGGTGTAGCGTAAAGGGGACTCTATATCGGACATGAATCATGGCTGGACATTCGTCTTTAACTTTTCTATCTATCTCGATAATTTGTAGGTTGAACTGCCGTATTCGGGCAAGCTTGCCACTCATGACAATATCAGAACGTATTAAGATATAATAAATTCGAAAAGGCAAATGAACTACAATTGAGCTACCAACAACAGCATCAAGAGCTACGACGAGACATACACACACATCTATATATATATATATATGACAACATCGCTTTAACAACACGATATCAGAAAAATTAAATGAAAAACATATCAAAAAAGCAGAGGCGTCTCGTATTTTGAAACAAAAAAAAAAAAAGCCAGACGTTGATAGACGCAATTCTACGAGCAACAATGGCAACTACGATAACAACTTTATGTATTCCAGATTCGACCAGATGTAATATGAACAGGTACATAATCGGAAACGGAACACTATTAAAACTAAACAACTAGAGGCTTAGGCACAATCTGTTTTTGGATAAGATACCATATCTAATAGCAGACAAAATACCTCCCAAAGAGCCGAAATCTATGATTCTAAGATAGCTTAACTAAACTAACAAATATGTATAGAACGTGTGGTACTGTAGTACCAGCATGTAATTAGCTACAACCAGATACATAATCCAATCTTATGGTACCTTAAATAATGATGTCTAGATAATGGCAAGATCCGTTCGTTAGAACTGATACACTGATAATAATAGTAACTTTTCGTTCATCTATCTATAAGGTAATTTATCATAATGAAAACAGTTTGCTAGAAAATACGGCTGTTCGCAAGCTCTCCAGTTACCGATCGTCGCTTCATCGGCATCGCAATGTTCTGTGCTAGATCTTTTTCCCTTGCTAGACCCTAAATGTGACAGCCGTCCGTCCGTCCGTCCGTTCGTAGTCTATGATACTGAATTTTAATACGTGTCTCCGAATGAGATATTGCTATATTCGTATTCGGCGCTACCAACTGTAAATTCAACCCTACGGATGCCTACGTGCAACTGCGTGCATACGATGAATCTGAGCTAAAAGCTTACAACTATAACATTACGATGTCGAAGAACCAACGATAAACGGAAATTTCTGGACACCATCAACGCCGACCACTTTTCGACTGCTTTCGTGTTTTTCTTATTCTATTTTATTGTTGATAACAGCGTAACCTCTATCAATCTCTCTCTTTGTCCTTCTGTTGACGTAATGAATCATGAATTGATCTTGTCTCTATCTCGAACTACTGTGATGCCAACAATATCTTCTACTGTGTGATCTTTTTGTATGTTATTCATGGTTCCGTTTACCCAGTTGGTGTTCAACCGTGAACGCACGCGTCCGTGTACTCCCGCGTACATGGTCGCTTGCAAATGCCTATTCGATACAAATTACGTAGGATTGTTGGCATAAAAATACCTTTTATCTTTCATTCGATAACTGTACATCGACGGCAAAAATATTACTTCCATTGATCGATACTTTCGATGTCCTTACCACAGTAACCAAGCTATCTATCATAGCGTTGCATGTACGACGTTCTGTAATTAACAATCAACCACTGTTACAAATACTTGTGTCACTAGACTAAATCACTAATCGAATCTATCGATGATATCTGCCCGAACTTTTTTCCGTTGCCTATAACGACATACAAGAGATTCTACCGTTAACGCTAAAAGCATCACCTTGATTCATCATGTCGCAAGCAATGTAGCAACAAGTAAACATAAAGCCATCATTCCTATTCGACGTAAAAGGAACGTCTGACTAGGCCAACACTGACAAGTAAAGAGCGACTCACAAACCCACAGAAACGTAAGCATTACACCCAAAAGTAACATCATCGGTACCGAACATTCAATCCATCTTTTAACCAATCGAACGTAACCAACATCTTTATATATATATATAATATATCTCGCTTTTAACGTAAAATCTCTTCACTACCTAAGACTGGCAAGAATAAATGCAATAACATATGATACGTAATGCATCATTACGACGAACGATAACCAAAAAAAAGTAACAACTAAATCAGATAGATACGAGCACGATTTATCCATCCAATGACGACGATAGAAACACAGAACATCGACTCATTGAACACAAGATCGACCATAAAAGCCAAACAGCCATAAAAAAAAAAGCAACGATAACAGGCAGCACTTGAACAGCGTAAGAGGCGCAATACTAAAATAACAGCTATCCTACATGTCGGTTGGTCGGTTCATGCATCGGCCTTACTGCATGACAATATGTAACAACAGAACGTGACAACGCACGAGAAAACAAGTCTTTTGTTCCTTTAGTGAGTCTCTGTTTGAGAAACCGCTCAGCGTAAAGAACAAAAGCACGACAGTAATGAAACATAAACATGTACACAAATATGTCCACCAAGCAACGGCCGACTGAACAAATGAAGATAAACGAATATTCATATCATGAGAATGCAGGTCCCCCGGAGGTCAGGGTGAAGGCTGACTGGCCGGTGGGATCCAGATCACCTCGCGTCCAACACTAGATATCCACACAACGGTATTCATTTAGCCCACTTAGCCAGCCCACGAATGGGGGAAAAATATAAAAAGCGAATCCCTGTCGGTTATGATGGTGAGAACAAACATCACCATTACAAGAACGATGGGTAGATTTATATTTTGTGACCACCAGTTTACATATATAGATATACGCATGCGTACGTGTGAGTATATCTGTGTATGCGTACGGCAACGGCCTGCCTACTACTATTTATAATTACAGGAGCAGTTAATATAATTATAGTGCTATTGCTGCTACTGTAGCCATTATGGGTCAACAGCTATAGCAACAACTACTAAATTCAGTATAAAGTATCACTGAAAAAAACAAACGTGAGCAAAAATCCAACGATACCACTAAGAAATCATTATAATTATATATGATAGTCTTGAATAATATACCAAAGCCTGATGATGACGCAATCAACGAAGTCCCTCGGATAACATTTAGCCGCTGCGACCCTTTTATTGAGAAATAGGCGCAACAACTATTGGCCAGCATTACCTAGAATAATCCCGATCATAGAACTAACACTAGCCAGTGGAAGAGTCGTGTATCAAGCTTGTCACTATCTGATTGCACGAGCCTTGTTTTGGAGACATTTAAGGACTATATTGGAAACAAGAGAGTCGATTGCAAAAGGTAAACGACATTATAAAACAACGTAAAGGACAATAATAAACATGATAATAAGAATAATTTATTTAGTAAGCGAGTACAAAATACACCTATAGTAATACTAATTGCCTGCTAAGAAACACCTTTTCTGGGACCGGTGCGGGCTAGTTTTTTACGATAAACTTTAGACGGGTGTATCGTATAGGGAGATGCGTCACGTCGAACCAAAACGTAGACACGCACGCACGCACGCACGACCACGCAGAGCCCGAAAGTTCGCTCATGTGCATACTACAAAAGTTAGGTTACTTGTCCTTGCTATCTACTTAGTTTGACTAAACGGAAGAGACGATAGGATACTGCCATGTGAGACTGAGCATTGTTCGTCAGCCGATTGGCACGTAGAACATGCTAGCACGAACCGGTGCACGATAGGAATAGGCGGAAGGAGCTCGTCAGGCGAGCCTCGTCAATCCCAAGTGTGGGACGCTGCAGTGACTTTTCTTTGCAAAGACAGAAATGGCATTGACTGCACTCGTATCCGTGTATGCTTGTCGGTGTGCGTGCGCTGAAAATGCTACGTACGAGAGGTATGCATGTAGCAGTGTTTAACAACCGATAAGCTCGATCATTATTTCTCTAGATTTCAGAAAAAGTCTATAAAAAAAAATAAAATTGTGTGTAAAAGAAAAGCATGCATATTGCAGGGTTATCAATGGAAAGCGTTCTAAGAAACATATGCGATCACACACACGTACGGAAAAGGCTGCAGGGGAAGGCGTATAAAAGCAAGAAGAATTAGATCAGCTTAATACATATAGCACATAAAGGCGGAAACAAGTGTTGTTTATCAAAATGAATGTACATTTTACTGGAAAGGTTACCTAAGTAAAAAACAAACGACAAAGCAAATCAACAAACAGGAAAGAGGAGAGCAGCAAGCAGGCAGTCGAAAAATTGCATTAATGGGTCGTCCTCGTTAATGTGTACAGTATAAATTCTAAGCTGTTTTCGTATATTACTTGGATGGTTATTATCATGATATATAATCATTACTACGAATCGTCGTACCGTATTTAACAGATATATGCTGTGATATTCTGCTCCGTAAAAAACCAGTTGAAGTAACAGTAAATTATTTTATTGCGAATCATTGCATCGCACGGAACGCATAGCTAATTTTTAATAACATTTACGCCGACAGCGGTCAAATACGTGCGGGCATACAGTGGCGTCATGCGTCACAAGTTACACATAAGTGTCATAAAAAGTAAATAAATGGCACAAAAGTAGTTATGATAATTAAAAAAAAAAAGAAGTTTCAAATGAGTACAGCTGGAAAGTATACATCTAATAAGTATGTAAAGGCATTGTGTCACAGTACGAAAGCATATATATTGAGAGTGAACAGGACACTGTAAAATTGTACGGTCAGCGCACTAACGCACGGTTCGATCAATTACCGTAAGGTATTTGTTATTTGCATCGAAAGGTGTGTATCCTATAGCACAAAATTCGTATAACTTATAATAGCATGCATATTGAGACGTCTTAGTACAGATATAGGTACTAATGGGTAACAAATTGCTGACGGAATTTATGATACATAATTTAGAAACTAGGTGAAAGACAAAAGAAACTTGGTAGAAATACATTGGAGGTGCGCGTGTGTATTTGTGACGTTCATTGCGCAATAGATGCTAAGTAAATATGAGGTATTGTAATAGGGCGGGACTATTTACTAACATCTGAATTTAAGGTCGAACAGAGGCTGACAGCGCAAGATAAGTAAATATATCCAATGTCTCGTTTCCCTAGCGCAGTCTGTCAAGGATCGAAACACCTTCCCTTCGGATAATTATTTTACTACTAAACACGTCTTGCTGTAGGCCTGTCTTGCAGGACTTAGGCTGGATGGCCTTCTCATAACAACCATTCGAGCTGCAGCGCACAACGTATCGCTTCGTTCGGAAACGTACAGCTCTAACAACAAAGCTGTCTAAACGAGACGAACATCTACTTAAGAGGGCAAAGTCCAAATGATGTTTCCGCCTTGAACGAAAGCCAGGTTGTAAAATACCGCCGTTAAGAGTGAGGCTAAACGCAGAGCGGCACTATAGAGGCCTAAGCCCCGGTTCGAAAAAACAAAGGGAACAAATTCAACTCTCTACGATTTATCATCACAAGATCGCCTTGCCTTCGTTAACCACTATACGATTCCAAGATATAACAACCTGATTTTTAAATACAATGAACGCTAACATTGTCAGATCACTGACATTCTCTCTGAAGCAAAATGATTTAACTGGCTCTTCTCGAACAGCGCCAATAAAATAGAATCGCAATTATCGCCAAAAACGGACGAGTACTGCGATCGAATCAATCATAGCTACCGCAGAAGAACTTAATACTGTATCCCTATATACATATAAGAGTGCAGACTGCTATTACTACTACAAGCTACACAAACAGATGCAGACATACGTATCGATGCAAAGATACCACAAAAGCGAAGCGTCAACAGGATACGATATTCTGTTATCCGAGGAGCCGAGCTATATCCGGGATCGGACTTTTCGTCCTTAAACCCTGTCCTCAAGTTTCTGTTGCGAGTGGCCAAATGTGCCAAAGTCGATCCCCATAAAAGCTCCTGACCCCGCAGTAAAATTGCCCTGATCAGCCGTAGGAGAAGTCTTCGACATCCATAAGCCAGCTAAAATTCTGGTGAAGATTAGTAAGTATGTAACGGATGCAACAAACGAACTCGAATGAAAAAGCAATTTGATGATCACTACAGGAATCATGGTAGAGAAAAATCGATTTGTGGTTAATCGCTTAACAATAGCTAGTTTATTTGTTCATTATACACATCTGTATATGTTTTTATGAGATATGGTTATTACTATTCTACAATAATTGAGACTGATTGCTACAATGCATTGGATGCCTCGTGAATGATACGAACTCATGCCTGTTGTTAATAAGATTAGATCAATGATTCTACTATTAGTAAGACCACTAATGTCACCATGAACTTGCGAAAGTCTGCGAGGAAATGGACCGTGCCCCCCCCCCCCCCCCCCGCACCACCACCACCTCGACCCACGAAACAATATACAACACAAACACATAGACGGCAATGGTTTTTTGTAAAAACACTCGACGACATGTTGAAGAGACATTATATAGATTATTGTGAGGAAACAGTGATGAAGATAAATGCAAGTAACTATATTAAGATGAATTGGAATTAAATAATAATAATAATTATTAATATTCGCATCATTAAATAAAGTGAACGAATAACCTGAAAAGAAACACCCGAGAAAAGACGATTTTATACTACGGAACAATTAATCAAGCAAATAAATTACGATAGTAGTTCAAAGGGGGCGTTTTCATTTAAACAATACATTTTAAGTGCCTTCTGGCAGCCGAAGAAACTAACTTAGCCATGGAGCAATAATACTCCGTGTTCTTTTTCAAACGGCTCTACTTTTCAACCACGCCATAATTTCCAGGTATGAACCACTAACTTCATCTCGACTAGCTACAGTCATAACGACCTTTGCGTCTGTAGATAGCAAGTGATCGTTTCTGCACCATAATTATGGAAGACTATTTAAACTGATCCCGACTTCACTTGAAGCGCATTTGTCTCACTCTAATAGTAAAATGTACGAGAACAAAACGTATTGTATGAAACTCGGTCATAGAAAGTACGCTACATTACCATCTGGGAAAACTATGCATTACCCTAAAATTTCTACACTCATACTTACAACTCATCTTCTTTGCTCTATGTACAGTTTATTTCATCACAGTATGAAAAATCTAGACCTTTCGATATAGTGCACAGCGTAGGCGTACGTTCACACACTCGACATTATAAGTATTCTTTTTATGTACAAAAGTATCGTTAGTTGCCTATATATATATATAAATGTAATTCGTTTATCTTAATCGACTAGAAATTGTGGCTAGTGCGACCAGTCTCTGCTATCTATAACAGCTACAGCCCTTAGCTCTTTCGCAAATATCTTTAGAGGTGCGGCGGCAGATGTAACTCAGATTATAATCCAAGTTTACGTACACAGAGACCCGGTTTTTTTTCGCACGTTCACAATAGTCAGAAAATGATACCATATTGACTACAGCAGAGTCTCCTGTTGTCCGCTTTGAGAGATAACTTCATTCGCCACAGGAACCGTTCTATAAGTCGACACAACAGAATTCTCTTTTCGGAGCCTAAAAACAGCGAAAAAAAGAAGGACAACGAGAGCTCCACAGAAAAAAACCCCGACGATATTAGCGCACGCTGTTGCTAAAAGAGCCTGCTGAGCTTTCGTTACCGACGAAGCACTAGAGTTTGTTTTAGCCAAAAGCAATTCAAGTGATTTTTGCAGGACAATCTCTTTTGGCCAATGCTCAAAAGCAGAATTTCGTCGAAAGCGCCTAAGGAACATAAACAAGATAAAAAAACTATCAATAATTTGCTTTTCGAAATTCGATAATTTTAGATCTTTTCGTTTTAAGCCTATCTACGTTTTTAAAGTTGTTTTTCTTCTATCTCACATATATATCTTAACCACTAGAAAATTTGCGCAAATAAAAGAAGTTAATTTTTGCATCATCCAAGCTACGGGTTTGAGGAGTGGTCGTTAACAAAACTCTATAGAAAATTTCTAGATAAGCCTTTCTTCAATCGAAATAATTTAAATATTTTTTTATCTGCTCAGAGCCGAGCTCAGACTACGATTATCAGATCACATTAAATTGCTTTTGATGGTAATATGAGTTTGATAATCAGTACTCTCATCAAGGTCACATCTAATTTTCTGGAGACTTTCTATGTGCTGCTTGACCGATTAGTCCATTAGCGTTATTTATGAATTTGTTCAGCGAACAATTCACGATAGCAAAAAAAAAGACAAAAAAAAACAAAATGTATCCACCGTTAACGTTTCATACTTCGTTCACATACCCCGGTGTTCCGGCCGATTGTTCGAGGACGGAGAAAATACAGTGCACATGCCATGGATGTTTGTCATCCACTGGTTCCCAAGCGAACAGACTATCAATATCGAATGTAAAACCGTCCGCGCCCAGAGAATCCAGACGCTGAAGAAGTTCTGCTGAGAACGTACGCCGATGTTGGGAAGCAAGTCTGCCATGGAAAGACATTTCAGGCGCAGACATGACACTGGAGTCATTTGACGATTCCCAGTCCTATTGAGACGAAGAAAAATTTCTGAGCCATTGAATCAGTAAATAGCAGTAAATAAGTATCGCATCCTTGAGCAGAGCTTTCCTTCAATGTGTGTGTAAATGATTAGCGATGATATGTCAGCTTTTCAATTTTCATACAATAACAAACTAGATTTTTGTATGTAATTACATTGAATTGAATTGAAGACTGCCATTGTCATAAATGCACTTTGGTCTTGTTCGCATTATTTATACATACGATAATCTTATATGGGCAATGCAGGGGCTGTTGATTGGGCTTCACTGATAAATGAGGTGTCGTGGTCCGCGTAATATTGTGGCAGAGAAAACACTGGCGAATGCGCGCCACTAACGGAGACCTTTCCGGTGAACTTCCGACGAGAAAAGTACGAACTACGCCGAGTACTGTTTCGCCTGAGAACATTACATTTATATACTCCTAATTCATTTTGGTAAGCTGTAAGTACGAAGTAGCTTTCATACGAAATCAGTCGGACATAAAAGATAGCCTACTTATCACCATTTTTTTATAATCCACCAGTATAGTCAGAAAGACGTTCATCGTTGATTCTTATCACCTTGATGGAAGACACTGCTGAGGTTGCTATATTGATTCGTCTGGTTCGTCGCGGTTTCCATGCTTAACCATCGATCGGCAGAGGTCAGTTCCATAACAGAGTCCATTGAATAGCTTTGCTGCTCCATATCCTGGGGTGTCTCGACTTCTACTGGTAGGGTAAACTGAAGAGGCGGGGACTGAGGTTGCACACGGCATGTTCCAGGTGTTGCGCCCACGCATGGGAAAAAGGCGAGACTGTAATTGCCGGTGTATTGTGGAAGCTACATGGTCAAGGAAAAGGGAGGAAGGTTAACCAAGTTAATTAAAGAAAAAAACTTAATCAAATATACACTGCTCTTTTTCAAGTTCATATGGTATGAACAAAGAAAGCCAGCTTCAGTCTGTCACGACGGATTTCATTCAAATAACGTGAAAAATATCGTCTGACGCTCGAATGGCCACCATAATAGCGATTCGCGAAAATCAAAGCAAGAGACGAAATGTTTTTGCTATCCGCGAAATTCTAATGAAAAAAAAAAAACGTAGAACCACAAATGATAAAAAGCACTATAACGGGGAAAAGCGAACTACCGAAGCCAGCGATCCTAAGGTCCACAGAGCTTCCGTTTCTGAGAGCTGCTTCTCGAGCCGAAGCAAGAATGCCGCTTGTACTCCTCGTCGTGGGGATAAAGTTAACCGGGATTCGTTCCATCGCACTGCAAGTACAACAGATAGATGTTATTGTACTAACCCACCGTATATCAAACTCCACTGGTAAAGTCCGTACTGGTATCTGCTTGTTTATATCCTGTCCAATAAATAAATTTCTTTGACTTTTGATTTGATATCGGCCCTATTATTTCTCCTCGAAGTAAAGAGCCCCTCGTGCGCTGCGTGGGAAATCGTAAAACAATAGATTAAAAAAACGCACTTTGCTCACTCTAACAAAATCTCAAGCTGTGTAATTAGTCAAGAAACTTAATGTCCGAATAAAGTGTGTTGGCATAATAGTTACGGTAGCAGGCGATCAGGTGATAGATAAGAAAACCTATGTTGAATGTTGATTTGGAATTGGCAGAATCTTAAGTGATAGTTCATAAGTGGACAAAATCATTGGAATCGTTTCGAGCAATTCTCTTACAAAGATACCAGTGGCGCAAATGTAAAGCTGGGATTTACCTTTTTCCTTGTCGACTACGAGCCTTCCATGGAACTTGATTGTGGTTCGAAAAGTCACCACAAGATTCCTGTTCGAGTCAACACTGACGCTATCGACATCTGCGCTGCCAGAAATTTCTAACATTCAAAGATGAGACATTTATTGATAGGCATGCAAACATAAAGGCTGGAATTGTTTGCTAGAATCGAGTACATCGTTCGACAGTTTTCTTTCTAGATAACACTCGAACCTCAGGCAAGCTTCATTAGTCAACGACTTGCAACTTCTTAGACTTTTTAAATCACCTGGTCCATTTCGTTCGTGTTCGCTGTGGGAATGTCAAGTGAGAAAGTTTGAAGGATAATTCTACAAGTTTTATTATGCTATTTTTCGGACTTTCAGTGATCATCTACCAGTAATAATAACTGGAACAGAATCACACTTGATATTTTTTTTTATCTTTCTTAATTTTGTTCTGAAGAAAAATCCACGGTGGCTTGATACACACTCAATTCTCGGATCAAAACTTAATGAAATCATTAAATATTGTTCCATTACAAAGGTATATATTGAGCTATTTGACCAACGCTTCTAAACCTGAAAGTCGATATAAATAACATATGTGCGTAGCACATGCAACTTACCTGATGTATGCATATCGCGTCGCTTGTACAATCCACTTTCACCAACCGCCCAGTTATTGTAAACGAAGGCAATATGCAGCACGTTCGATACGGACACGTGCTGCCATCTACCGCTACGACCATGAACCAAATACATGACGTGCATGGGCAACGATATGGTCACTGTAGATGCGGCTGTATGTCCATCTTCATCGTCATTTTCGCCGTCGCTGTGATCAAGCCGACCGCCGCAAGCTAACAGCTCACCAAGCGAAAAATATCGCTTATAATTCCACGTACATGAACGCAGGTCGAGAGCAGATAGAAAATCGCTGAAAATTTTAACAGGATATGTTTAACAGAATTAAGCGTACGTTAAGAAGCCAATTTCCGCAATCTCACTGCTACGGGGTTATGGGCGCCTTTTACGTATATATAGGAGTAACGACACCTTACTATAGATGGTTTATTTCACTTTTGATAACAATAGCGAAGGAAGTATTTGAAGCTTCATGTTATTTGACCGCATCGCAACGATATTACATATACAAAGGCCATTGTCATTGTTGTATACTAAGTATTTTATATGTCCAATTTCCGAAAAGATAGCATTTTCTGCGTTCAGTATGAGATACCTTGTGTTGCCAGGAGCTATATTCGAACAAACGTGCTTAGTGGCAAACAGTGGCCTCTGATAGTCCCCTGGGGTAATGGAGTGCGTGGACCAGAGCGGTAACGCTCCGTCGTGATGAGGCAACGTTAACGCTAGTGAAAACGTGATTCGTGGCTGTGCTCCAGCTGAGCTCTCTGGAAAACGAGATCATACAAAGAGGAATCGCGTCTAGCTGATATGTTCAGATAGCCTCATAGCTACTATAGCAGCTGTTTTCATTTTCTAAGTGCCAATGCCATCATTCTTGTGTTGCTGTCCCCAAAAATTTTCCAACAGCTTATTCTTTCGGTGGTAAAAAACGGGGAGGATGCACTGTATGCACAGAGCGAACCTACGTAGGATACTATAACCGTAACATCATGGTACAAATGACAATCGGGCTTTATTTTTCCTTGTTAACGTCATGGAAAATATTTTAACTATTTTTTCTTTATAAGTGACGAGTGTGCCCTTCATTTACCGTCTAGGCTTAACTTGGTCGAAAAGGGCTTAGATCCTGCGCGACCTCCACACAAGGATCCGTCGTCCACTAGATATTGTTCTGAGTCCATCCAAAAACCGTCGGGCTCTTTTTTATCAATAGAAGCGAGTTTTACAGAGCAAGACACTTTTGAACCTGCGAACAAAATTAATTGTGGCTTAGTGATGTGAACCGATACAATTCCTTTATTTATATTTACAATTCCTTTAATATTGGAACAACGGATTGAACTTTAGCAGTAATTGGAAGCTTATTTTATGCAGATTCTTGCAGTCATGGCGGATCATTTAACGAGATGCGCGGTGATTGTTGTGAAATTATTAGGCACCCTTGATATTATGTGGTAAAGGCATTTGTCTTCTGCGGTCGTCAGGGGCATGGCAGAAAAGAAAAAAGCCTTGAATAGCTTTACCTGGGAGTAAATATAAAAAGCCAGGCAGGATTATTTTGTCGGTGCGAGCAACGAAGCTCCGAGACCTAATAGGAACGAGGGCATCTGAGGAAATCAGATTACGGCTATTTTTTATTAATTCCGTGGACACTTTCCATTGATAGCGGGTTATAGTTGAATTAGACACTTTCTCCAAACATGGATATTGTGGATGATTCGTGTCGCACGCCTGCAACGTAAACGAGGTTAGAATCGTCTATTTTTTTTGCCTTACATCATTTGTCTGGACTGAAAGCAAAGCAAGTTAGAATTTAAAGAACATTTCAAACTATAAAAGGTGTGCCGAATATTTTTCGTTCAGATATGTCATTTTTTCATCTATGAATACTCAACCACAAACAACAATTTTAGGCAAGGTACAGCGATAGCGAAACAATTCAATATGGCCAATGGGAATATTGATACTGGCTATTTGCATATGATCGTTGCATGTTAGATAAAATTGATAAGTCGATAGTATAAGTATGTCGTATTAAGAGCGAAATTCCTTTACCGAAGCACAATAAAGGGTGGTCCCTTTGTGAAGGAATCGAGTATGAGACATCAGTTTTCCTGTGTCTGGGCTGATTGCGAGTATAAGTGGCCGATGGCGAAAAGTCAACCGCAGAGGACTATCTTCAATGCGCACCCGAGCCTTCGAAATCTACGAACGATAACGAGTAGGAAGGTGCCATTGATTAGCATGATCAATGCAATCTGTTTAACGACTTGTCTCTTTTAGAACAATGTACGTCTCGTGCATAGCCGTACAACGTTGTATGCATTGAGTCACATGCGATAAGGACATTGCTAAGGGCTAAAATTATCGCTACTAAATATTCCTATATTTTCAACCGGCACCTGATTAGAACGATCCTAGATGTGAAGCCAAACCGACTTATCAATACGATGTACTATGATGCAGATTCAATAAAACAAACAATTATCTCATGCAATTTTGTGTGACTTATCTAATGATGACGCAGAATCGTTATCCAACAGACTAAAACTGTTAGTCAACGGAAGAAGCCATTATGTATTCTTGGATTATGCGGGCACGGAAGATAATAAGAAATAACCGCACGCACCAAACACTATTCTAATACTATTGCTAAAAAGAGTCCGGAGAAATTGTAAATTAATAATAATAAAGTCTTCTTGTGATCTTTAATGTTAATTATGGAGCTGTGATGTTGTACCGGCACCTCGACCGAACTTCGCCGTATATACTCCATCGAAATCGCTTTATATATGTCAGTTCCACTTTTTTAGCAACTGAACGCGTCACATGACACTAGGATCGAACCCATCTGGGTCGATTCACTGGAACTGAAGTCGAGAAGTGGCGCTGATGGTCGCTGATCACCCGAGCTATTTTATCATGGCTAATTCACAGCTGCAAAAGCCCCCTGAATAGCAGGGTGTACCTTTCAGACTCCGGTGGGTTAGTACAGCAGCTTTTGACAACGGTTGTGCATTAATCGTCGTTGAGGAAAAAATTAACAACAATGTCGTCTTCTTTGAAGATACATCAGTGTCTTTGTAGCTATTTGCTCCTTACAGAAACAGAATTGTTGCAATCGTGATAGTCACTTTTAAGGCCCACCGTTCCACAGCGCCTAACCTAATCTAGGTTGGAATGTTTGAACGTCGATGTCTGTAGAATAAGCGGAAAAACTAACAAATTGTAGAAATAGATTAATTATTTTCCGTCCTCCTTCGCAAAACAGCGAGACAGATATTGTGAAATTTTACGCGATTTGAAGGACGCGGATTGATCAGATAGATGCGTTAGGCATCTGCCGTTTCTGCCAGGCTTCTCTTCTCGCTTCATGCCCTTCAGTTATTTATGGTCTATTTATCTACTCATAATTCACTGAAATAAAATTGAATAATACGATAAAATAAAGTGAATAAATAATGAAAAAAGGAGCAATTAATTCAATTGTGAGCTATCATTAGTGCTCTTTAATTACCTGTAGGTGAACTATCCGCTAAGCAATCATTAGGAAAAACCCTCTCGATAATAGAAATAGGTACATTAGCTTTTAAAAAAAGTTAAAGTAAATTACAAAATCGACCCATGATGTGTAAGTGCTCGTATGTATCTTGTTTAGATATGCTGATATATTAAAGGACCCACCTTGAATGGCACATGTTCATCGAGTGGTTCGATCAAAATATAAAAAAACTCCACCGTCTCAAGATAAGCGTCTCCAAGAATTTCTACCGGTACAGAAATGGCGTCATCTTCTGCTTGAAGAGTGAGAACTGCAATGCAATGAAATCACAAGTCGTGTTCGTTTCATGCGACGACACTGGAGGACGCTTCGATTTCAAATTTTCCTTGTAATTTATTTTTACGTGTCGCAACTCCATTGTTAGAACAGTCTGCCCATTTTTTTCTATCGAGAACAATTAAGCACATTTTAACAATCAGCCGTCATATGAACCATAAAGCTTTTGTTTATACGTCGTCGACCGAAAAGCACAAAACGAATTCTCCTCTATACGGCTAATGTTTCTATGCGGTGAAAAATTATCAAATCTATATAACAGCAACAACAAAAAAAGAGACAGAATAGACGACTGAATCATATCAGCGTTTTAGACGTCGGATAAACAGGATGATTTTCCACGGCTTACAGGATGGAAAACATATTGACTGACATCCTCTTTGAGCGAATAAGAACGAAGAAATAAGTGCACGGATTAACAAATACTAATTAGAAATGTTTCCCTAATATATGCCTTAAAGAATTTGCTTGTCAAAATAAAAATCAGCCTAACGTAACAAGCAACATAAAGTGCTTTCTATTCTAGATAAGAACTAAAGGCAGTACTATAGAAGGAACAAGATTTTTTTATAAGGCCTAATTTATAGAGGGGAGTTTAAAAAAACGTTTATGAAAGTCTGAGTGGAGAGGAGAAGCGTACGAAATAGCTCTGTGATCAACTCTAGTAAAAATATCCATCATACGACAATATCTACATTAGGTCTGCTCATATCTATAAACTAGAATGTCCTGAAATATGAAAAAAATCAATGTAATATCCATGCAATTCTTCTAAGTAAATACGTACCGCAGTTCGTTACACTGTTATATAGTATGTAAAGCGTACAGTACCATTTATGTACCTTAGCTTAGAATTAAAATATAGCGTAAGGGTAACTTGCGAGAAATTAACAAAGTAGATTCATTAACTCAACCTATTGGAGGATTTACCATGTGACCTGCAAATGTGATGAGCTATAGATGTGTTAGAGAGTACTAAACTTTGGACAGACAACGCAATGCTTATCATGCATCCACTGGTAGCAACACACCTTGGTCCACAGGGACGAAGTCTTCATTTGAACGTGCTGTTCCCACTATCGTGTAGAACCGAAACTTTATATCGACTCGTTCAGAGGATGGCCTTCTGACCACTCGGACAAAGAACCTCTCCTTGAAAAGTGCACCAGAACAAGTACTAATTTTATATTCTTTCTGTAAACAACTATAGCACAAAATCGAAGCATTTCGTTAAGTTCATTCGACCTTAAACTGGGTTCTAGCTCATCGTGTACTTTCTAGCTTTCCGCGGCGGGGGGTGTTGCCGTTAATGTCTTGAGTTTCCCATCTACATGCCAACGGAAGAGAGATAAGAAAAACCCTCTAGTTTAGCTGACATAGATGATTTAAAAGCAAACATTTATAGGCAATATGACAGTGTATAAGCAGTGCCGTAAAATGCGCAACAAAATTATAAACGATAATCATTTGCGGATAACGCGGTATTATAGCATCCAAACTGAAAGTTTGATACTGCACTTCGTAATTTCTCATTGCAATTCACGTCAGCGTGGCTATAGGGGGTCAGCCGTACGTAATGATAGTCTCCTAGGAACAGGTTGTCCACGCTGAAGTAAATCTCCGCTAAAGACACGCGCCCGATGTGCAAACATCGTGTTTGTTTCAAAAACAACGACACGTTTTGATAAAATTACTTTGTAGATTCAAATACGGAGTAGTAGTTGACACATAGCGTTCATTACCTGATTTTTTTTTTACACACACATATTTAGAACAACACAAGAATGCTGTACAGGTGTTAGTGAAAATCAAGAAAGGTCCGATGATACATATTGATTGAACTTTTGTTGATATTCAATCATGCAAAGTGGTAGAATCAGTCTACCAGGAACGGAAAATTCGATCGACCAAAAATACACAGGAAGCGTCGACGGGTCAGATGGTTCGTTCTCTTATCTGCGCCTTCTTGCAACTTAAGCAGTAGTAACATCCGATGTTTTCTGCCTAATACGAGCAAAAATGAGTTAACAGATTCCAGTGGAAAGACACAGTTCATATAACGATTGATGTAAGTGGAATAGGGAACTCAAAGAGCATCAGACAGCACTCAGAGATAGCAGGTCATCAATCAACTAATACCTATTTAGATTAATCGGAACTCTCGACACGAAAACCTATTTTAAATCAGTGTCAAGCTCCAACCTTGTAGACTTTAATATCTATCTTGGCGCTTTTGTGAACGTATTAAATACAAATTAGCTAGCATTTACCCTGAAGCATTTGTATACATATACTGTCAAGTGATTTTCAACTAACGACCCTCGAAAAAAATGAGTTGGCAATGCGTCTCGAAGGCTGGTATCGTTTAATTGTCTGAGTTGAATTAGCCCATTTTAATAATAAGAGCATTTTGCAGACGATTCGCTTGCCCTCCATAGGTACCCCCACGTATAAACAGAAATGCACTCGGTTTCTTTTTTTTTTTTCGTCTCAATTCGTCCAACACTATTTCGCTTACCTCCCTCATCAGGAATATTACATATATTATATATATTAGTATGTACAGTTTTCTTTCCTTTAATGATCTAATAAAATGTATAGAGTTGCATCAATTTCCTGAAGCAGCATATGCGCATTCGATATCTAATCGGCCAAAATAAGGACATGTGCTTTTATGATAAACAGTTGATTTTTATCTCATGCAGAAAAGGGCTGATTGGAGCGTATCTGTCTTGTCGAAGAAATGTCATAATGATCTATTTATTTAAATTTCGGTTTACTCAAATAAATCAGTCGATGGTAATGCTGACACACTTTTTGTCGACGACCTATTAGAAAAGGATAAGCTCCTCTATATGCGGTAAACCATAACGAAAGTTTATACGTTTCTAATAGACAAGTATTTCACTCGACCGTATAAAGATACTCTGGAGCATTTGACGACGCACAGCTTGTGAAGCTATTTTAACGGTGTCTTTTACTTTAACTACCTATTATATAAATCGTAAATAAAGTATGAACTTTTCATCGTGGATAACGTCGCTAGCTATGCGTAGTGAATTAGCCTACCTGATCTACATCGACTCGACAAAAAAAGATGTTGAGTTACAATTATTCCTGATTACTACCATGTAATAAATACAGCGTTACGTACAAGGTCTTAAAGCCAACACATTGCTTCGATGGTTGACCTTTCATTGGACTCACCTTCACAAAAGGCTTGTCAGGCTCTTGAATACTCAGTTCGTCATTTTCGAAATGAATAACCTTTTCAGTGGACAGAACAATGACACTGAATACTTTTACCGTAGAACAATTATCATGAAGTAAACAGCCTCGAACAGCGCTCAGATGGATCAAAAAACGTCGTCCAGACAGACTTTCCGGAACGTGTAGGGAAACCGTTTTCGTTAGCATGGTAGGTGCTATTGAGAATGCGAATTCACCCACCGAAGTCTCCAACATTCCCTCTGTAATTCGATAGAGAGAAGGAATTGTCTGTGTATCATTTAGCAGATCCTTATAATTGACTTAAATTTGGCAAAATGTATATATAAAATTGATGCCTCAGCAATAGACATGTCCCTCAAGGCATCAAACTTATAGAGAGAGCATCTTCCAGTATTACCACCTGCAGACCCCATGATTGGCGATTCACATCTAGAAGATACAGCCTAGAACGAATCGTTAGAGAGAAAATCTATTGATAAAAGAAAAAAAACAGACTCGCGGAGCCCAACTCTTCGGCGTCTCCCACTTACCGATATGGGTACTCGCTCCACCGGACCTGTGAAATTGAAGTTCAAGGGTTTCTCCAGCAGAAACGTCAGACGGTACGAAGACCGTAAGCCAGCACCAATGAATGCTCATTGTAACGTTTTCGATTTGGCGGCCAGCTGTAAGTATTAACAACGATTAGAGTTAACGATCGCACCTAACTTAATTTGTTGTATCTATAGTTTAACTTACTCTAAAAACACTGTAAGTGGCACGATGCTATGCGAAAATAAATACACAATTTTTTGCCAGTTACGTTTTCAATAAACTAGAGATAATTATGTTCTGAGCTATATATACACATATATATGCGCCACGTATTACGATTTTAAAGCTACCTCGTTGTAGAAGGACGTGAAAAGTGTCATTGGTAACGTCTTTCGCGAGCATCGGCTTAATCCTGTACTCAAAGGCCGCTTGTCGTTGTCCTGAAAGCAAACTTGTGTTTATTATGAAGGAAGTAGGGCTTTCTTACAATTGCTAAACATTGAATTGAAATGTCTTTATAGCGCACTAGGAATGTGCATTAGCAATACAAGCTAATTATCCGACCCATGGGATGTAATCCGAACAAAAATACACGTTTGAGCTTTTGTACTTGTTGGATGTGCACTTGAAAAGTATGTTGTTTAGTAAATATCTGAGTAAACGTCTGATTGTTATGGCCTTAGAAGGGTGGCGCGTAACTTTCTTCGATTCACTTGCACATTCTACAAATGTCACCACGAATGGTCCTAAGTTATGGCGTGTTTCTATCGGATGCTTTTCAAGGTTTTTTACGTGGACAGTACCCTGACTTAGGTTCGCTTAGATTTGAAGTTATTGCTAAAAGATCATCATTTTAAATATGACACGTTTCAAATTAGACAGACACTCACATCGGCAATAAACAGCGTATGAAGACCAGCACCTTAGGGCTTTGTTAAGACAAATCTTTATACGCTTCAAACTGTTCCACGTGATTTAAATCCATACAAGGGTATAGAAAACGTCACGCTTTTTCTTTCAGCCACTTTGACATACCGCTCCGTGACTAAGTATGTACCTATGTGAGGGCTTAATCCACCATACAAAATGCTTCCCTCACGAACACCGCTAATTATGAACAGATGCTGTTAAGCATCTGCGATATATCGACATGCATCATTTGTAGTGGGAATATTGACGTCTGTAGTTAGGTCTATTTCAGAATACTAATAATTGGACCGTGTCCCAAAGTCTGGTTTGTTTCAATATAGTTGATTCCGTGTCTTCAGTTGAAGTATATATCACAGCAAACACGCTGTGTAGGATTATGATGAGCGTCCTAGCCAGTTTGCACTGTGATTTGTCACTGTCATTGCTAGATTTAGCTAGTCCATATAAAAAATAAAAAAAAAAAACTGAGAACGGATAAGACGACTGTACACAAGTTATAGGCATCTAAATAGCAAGCTTGGAAAACCGTAAAATATTATAGGTTGACTGATGATCTTCGCGTAAATAAGTTAGTAAACCAACAGTTAATAAAATGACTCGTAAATTCTTGCTATTATAATTTTACCGCTTCTTTTTTCAACCATTCTTTGGTTTGTAGTGAAGCTTCTTGAACGGCACGTTCCAACCATACATATGGAGCAAGTGCAGGGGAATTCTGCATTCATTCAAAATCATCTCATCGATATTCAATTTAAAAACCACACGAACATTATCATTCGTGCTCAAACGCACTAAAAGTATAGAAAGGTCTTAGGGAACATTAGTACTTATATAACTTTTTCGGGAAATTTCCCCCTTCTTAACTTACCATACAAGCTTTTAGGTATACCATTTGGCCATGTCAACTTAGTTGCCTGAAGCATCAGCCATTTGTTTATGAATATTTCCTTATTTCTATAAGCTTCACTGTTTAAATAATTTCTTTTAGGATGGCTATGTTGTCTGTCGTATTCTACCAGATCTCTCATCGTCGAATGCACCGTTTGTTTTTATTAAGCCTGATTGAAAGATGATCAGACTTAACTAGATAATGTGATAAAAGTCTGACTGCGCTGTGAAGCAATAGACATAATAAACAAAAAGAATTGACTGTTCCAGTATTTTCATCATTCAGAACATTTGTGCTTTTCATTGGTGAAAACACATGTCAGAGCAAACACCCGAAAAATATGAGTTTAGCATAAGTAACTGGTCACATGTACTAGCAGAAAAACGCTGTAGACTGTCCGTACGTTGCGCTTTTAGTTGAAAAAGAAAGACGTACTGAGGTAGAATATATTTAAAACATACACATACGATACGTCCAAAAGGTCTCGATGTTGTTTAGAATGGTACGTAACGGCCAACTCGGTGACCACTGGGTCAACGTGACATCGACCCCGACTTTAAACACAATGTTTAACGGAATCCTGCCGTAAAACCACCGCGCTAAATATCCATCCAGTGATAAACAGACAAGCAGGCATAGCAGACACAACGTCAAACACGACACGCTTAAAACCGCAGGCAATCCGAGACCTGAGACAAGCCTAAGCGTGATGTCGGTGTGCGCAATATAATATCGCCTATTGCATGAGATTCCTTTCTCGGCTATTGACGGTAAAATCGCTAGCTTATTTTTTTTATGGTTTATCTAGCCTTGACAATTTATTGAAAAACAGCGATGATCTGCCGTCAACCAGATCTAGCATTACTAAAGTGCATCGTGACTTTACGTCGTAATAAATACGCACGTCAACTAGAATTTTCTCTTTTTCAATCTACTCTCTTTGTTCGGCTTTAGATCTCGATGCCGTTTAAATACATTTGTAACATTGATACGTTCTCACGGTAGTGAGCATGCATTTTACGGCCATCTTATCGGGCAAACTTCAAGGACAACAGGACAATTATGTAATGGCTTTGTCATACACTGCGAATAAATTGAACTTCTAAAGCTTCTGGCTTATAGCCAAAATTTTTCGGAAAACGAACCCACTCGTAATCGTTTAGTTCAGCCTTAATTTCCTCGTTTTTTTTATTTGCAAACGAGTCCCTTAGCGAACTTTAAGTTATGTAGCGATAAAAAAAAACTCATAACACGCGTCCTATTAAATGAACTCTGCTTGTAATTATTAGACCTAGTCACCAACTTGCTACCTGCACCAATGTAAAAAATAACATTTGCTTAAAAAATAAATATTTGACTGACTTGTCTCGCTGATACGCAGACGGTACTATGCGTTGTATCTGCTTGTCTTCTGAAGTTCACTGAAATTCGGATCCGTCTTATTCTATGTGTAATGTCTCCTTTCCGAATAGACTACAAACGATAGATAGCTCCAATCTCCGGTTTTCCCGTACGTATCCCCATCCAGGCTTTGAATAAGTTACCGAAACTACAAACTGATTAGGAAGTGGAACTCCTTGATTTATGATTATATCGAAAATCATGAGTGTCAATAAAGCAAACATAGGAAAAAATATGCATTTTATCAGTACGTCCATGGCTATGCGGCCTCCTTATACCACAAATCTTGCGTTATTATGATTATTTCTCCAAATGTACAACGCTTTGGATCGACTTACATTGTTTCTGTGTCGATCGTTTTGTCCCTCCTTGTCGAGTATTTTTTAAGTATTACTATCTAAAACTTTCACTTTTTGTCAAAACTGGAAATCTTTATATTATGCATGGTCCCATTTGATTAATCATAACCGCATTGCACATGATCTACGCGTCGTAAGTTTTGTATGAAACGTACATCACCTTTAAGGCCTAGCAGATGGCGGAACTATTTGTTGTACTTCAGTAAACTATCGATACGTAGGTCGGTAAGCCAATTCTTCTAAAATAAATACAAGTTTCAAAACGCGTTTAGTAGATGTCACGCTGAAAGTTGAAGATCTTTTAAGCAGCCTTATACCTTCGACAGCTTTACGTCGTATCTATAGATCGCGTTATATTTCTATCCCTTTCTTAGTGCTTAGGTCGCTATTAACCGCAGCTTTAAACTCACTGAGAAATCGTCTATCTAGTTTTTCATATTATTTGTGCTTTTACATTTCGAGAAATTTTACTCTACTTTATATCAATTGTAACTACATTGACCTTTTCCTTTTACCCGCTACGTAGACATAACTCGATAGGTCATTCGACAATCGCTGTCTGATGTCAGGCAGGAAAACGCGTTCGACTTCCTATCGTTCGCTTAAGTTCTCCCATACAGACGGCAAACATGCTCGACCGCAGACAGCCAGACGCTCACTCATATACTCGAAATCTGCTACGTATTTCCATGCAAAATAACAGGGCTACGACTAACGTGAGTCAATATTATCTATAAAGTGTCGTTCTGTGTGTTCATCGAGCGTTCGCCCGATAGACACTGACATTGTCACAATGGTATTTACCGACACCTTTTACTCAGCAAGGCGTCTACTGCTTTCGAAGCTCCGAGAGTTGTAAACGGGCAATCGAATGTAAAGCCGTTCGTTTTATCTGACGCTGGTTTTAGGCAGTAGGGCCACATCGCTGACTGCGAGACTAGGGGATCGTTAAAATAAGAGCATAAAAATCTGACTACTACGTCAAAAAGCACGACTATCCACACCTTTCAGTGTTTTTCTCCCATATCAACGAGGGTCATTGGATTTTGTTGCGGTCGCAATTCGTGTGTCAGTTTCTAGTTCTTTGCCGTTGTTCTATGAACACACTATGATCAGCTGACGTTAACTAAAGCAACATGAAGTAGACAGGTAGATCATCACTGTATCCCGTACGTACGATAAGGCATGTCCAACGTCTTTAGCACGAGCACATAAAGGAAGCGTTCCGATACGAGTCTGCGCTTTCGTCCATCTCGTTTCTGCAAAGGATTAACAAGCAGAATCCAGTGCGATGCAGTGCAACATTCGGTTACAAAAAAAAAAAACTTTACATCGAGAAAATTCGGCAGGAGCTATTATAACGAGCTAGCTGGGCGTTGCCATTTTTGATCACAGTCTGCGACTATACTACGAACGAAACCCAACCATCTGGGATGTCAAGCCAGAGTTAAGCCGCTGATTATGAGCGGATCTAGGAGTATCTTAGATATCTAAGTTGACGAAAATTGTGTGACGAATGAGAAGAAACACAAGTGAATTGATGACTACCTATTTGTGAGCGTTGATTATAGTTCTTATGAATAATCTCTCTCTATCTCTATTTCTCAGCGTCACTCTTTCGGCGTGGAATGACCGAAGTTCTTTAATGTGGTGGAAATATACATAGACTTGGCCCGGACTCCAAAAGCCCTTTACATAACACTTTACAAACAGATACTAAAAATATCAAGTTAGTATAGCTGCGCCATAAGGGATGTTTAACTTTTCTTTATACCGCATGCAAGCTTCACATCGCTGCCCTTTCGTGGTTACACCTGAAAATATCTTCATTTTCATCGAACGCTGCGGTCGTCTTTTGCGC